CTGCTGAAGTGACAGTAGGATAAAACAATTAGTTACTAAATCATTTGTGAAAGCCCAACAAAAAGTCAGCGCAACATCAGTAGATCTACTATAATAGAATAGAAGTACTGGTTGTTCTAGCCATTTGTTTTATTATTAAAAGAGAGCCAATATCAGACCATTAAAAGATGTGTGGTCAATCAGGCTGGAAGTACTATCTAACGGTATGGAGGAAATTAAAACTTTAAAGATGCCCAACACTTAGATACATACAGAGATTGGTTCCAAACCTTTCTGTGACAGGTGATCCCTCTGGTTTCCTGGAGATGACATAGCGACAGCTCAGACCAGCATCTTTCACCATCTGGTCTCCCAGGAACTCAGCAAGTCTCTTTGCTGTACTGATGGAAGTGGACTTCTGCTGTCCGTAGTCTTCCAGCTTCCTGGACATGGATCGATTCTCTGAAATCAGCTCAAACAGCTCGGCGTCTGGCATGTTGGCAGCCTAGAAAAGAGAGACAAAAAATTGAAATGTTTCCCCTTTCCGATTAGAGACTTTTTAAAAGATTGATTAAATGGCTTCTTACCTTGCTGTACAGAACGTCCAGCCAGTAGTCTGCCACTTTGGCCACAGAGGCATATACTTCCTCTAAGGTGGTGCCTTTGAGAAAAGATTCAAACACTGAAGACTGGAAAATCTTAATGAGCTGCAGCTCTCCTCGTCTCTTCACCTCAAAACCCTTCAGCTCAGCCAGAGAGCCATCCTCATTGAACACAGCATACCTACAACAAACAAACAAAAAAACAAGAAAAAAAAAAGGACGGTTTGATGGAGGAAGACTTCATCATGTAGAAAAACCTTCATGTTGTCTTGTTGCAATACCGTTTCTTCAGCTTCTTCCCTTCTTCTTTGGAGGCAGGAAGAATCATGGCCAGGTACGGTCCGTCCACCTCAAAGAAGATGCTGTTTTCTGCCCTTGTGACATAAGTGAGGGACGCTGGGTCGACTAGTTCGTGGTACTGGTCATTGGTGAATCCCTCCTTCACTAGGATGTTCAGCATGGCCCCTGGGTAGGAGATGGTTACCTTGGGCTTCTTCTCACTGCTTGTTTTCACAACAAAGTTCTCAGGAAAAGTGTTGGGCAGGACACACCAGATACCGTCAGTGTCCAACTCCAGTGGTCGTCTGCGGATTACAGAAAAACAGCGGTGAGAAATGTCTTGATCATTTAGCACTTTAAGGGAACAAGCCACAAATGTCATTGATTTGAATAAAGGAATAACAACAATGGCAACATGACACCAACCCTATTTGTTCAATGAGCTCTCTGGCTTGTGTGATGATGTTGGCTCCAGTGAAGCAGACGATTCCTGCCATCTCCATGGAATACCAGCGCGCCCTGATGGAGACAAAAATAACTGTCAAAGCCTCATGGTCCACAGAACAGTTCAACCTAGCTAACGTCAATTAGTTCAAGATTGTCATCACTACGGCTACAAACCCTTACCCCTTCCTCATGACGTAACCATAAAAGGAGTTGAGAATACATTTGTGAGCCAGCTGCAGAGAATCGTACAGGATCTCCATGTTCTTGCAGCGTTTCACCTCAGCGGCATCTCCGCTGTCTTGAGCTGAAGACAGTTTCTTTTTCCAAACCTTTGAAAAAGGAAAATTAAAAACCTATGCACATTTTTTCCAGTGCCTCCTTTTGTAGATCAACTACAATCACCCGCCCACCACATTGTAAAGCTCAGCTCTAGGTAACAGAGGTGGTAATGTTATCCTCAGGACAGATCTTTTCTTGTTCACAAAAGTTAACCAGTACCTTATGGAGTCCTTTAAATTCATATCGCCGATCTCTGAAAGCTCTGACTGTGTCCACATAGAAGGAGTTCTCTCTCTGACAGATGGTGGTGATGCGTTCCTCCAGCCTGGTGACGTGAATCTTCTTGTAGGCCTTCTTACAGTAGTCTGAGATGTGGAGTACAGGGTTTCATAGGCTTAGGTCAACAGTCAATTAAAACAAACTGACCTCTGACCTCTGAATATTGACAACAATACCTGACAATCGCTTCTTCTCATGCTTGGCCTGCTCCTCCCTGTTAAGGTTGTGGAAGGCTCGAGGTGGTCCATTGGGGAAGAACGGTGGGAACTTTTCCGACTCCAGCTGCTGCTGGATTCTGTGGAACTCACTGCGACTGGCAGGCACTGAACACACACAGAATCATTTTCAGATTTTATACATCTTCATATGCACACACACACATACCCGCAT